GCCCCGCCCTCTCCCGGGCCCCAGCCCTTCGAGACCCGCCCCTCTGGGCACGAGCCCCTCCCGCTGCTCCCCCACCGACGCGCCCCTCTAGGCCCCGTCCTTCCGGACACGCCCACCGACACCACGCTCCTTCCGGCGCTTCTCGAGGCCCCTCCCCCGGGCGCGCTTCCTCCTAAGCCCCGCCTCTTCCCTCCCGGGCTCGGCCCGCCCCTCGGGGCGCGCGCCTCCTGGGCCCCGAGCCCCTCCTTTTTCCGGGTGCCTCGGGCCGGATGCGGAGGGCCACGGAGACGGGGCTGGTCCGGAGCCGTGCGTGTCGGCTGGCTTGAACCCGGGACTGGAGCTGGCGCCCGGGCCCGCGGCGCTGCCCAGGGATGCGTCCTGGGCGGGGTGTGGTGCCCGGAGCCCCGGCGCTCATCTAAAAGGGTTTCTGATGCGGGGAGCACCGCCCGTTCCACTCCGCACACGCCTGGGGCCTGCCCCTCCGGCGCCCATCCTCCCGGCAGCCCAGCTGGGGCCTTGCCCTTGCCCTTGGCCCCAGGCGTCGCGCTCCTGCTGGCTCGCTGCCGTCGGACGGACGCGGCTTCTGGCCTCGCGTCCACGTGGGAGCACACAGGCCGCTCCCGAGGCCCGCCATCAGGACTCAAGGAGCCCAGGAGCAAATAGAAAGCGAGGGTTTTGCAGAAATGTGTTTCCCAGAGGGGCATCCTGCTAACTTTCCAAGCCCTACCTGGCGGGTGATCCTGGAACAAACTGGGAAACACTGGAGGTGGGGTTAAGACTGGGTTCAAAATCCGGCTCTGCCATATGGTGAAGGGTGACCTTGGCTACAGGCCTGTTACCTTAACCTATAACAAGCTCATGGGACTACGAGGGGACAGACAGGTAGAGCCCCTGTCCCCCCAACACGACAGAACTGAATTTCTTGAACACTTTGCAGTCCAGGAGTGGGGGATTTGGGCCTGGCGATGTAGCTGTCATGCTCTAGTCCAGGCTTCCACCCCTGGATACTGGGCAGCTTAGTGTTCACCCTCACCCCGCTTGTTGGGTCTTGCACCTACAACTTTTGGGGGGACAGGCTGGGAAGCAGTATCACTTTTGTACACATCCCACTGGCCACCCTTTGCTGTTGGAAGTGCGCTCGTTAGCAGGCAGCCATGTATCTGGCCAGACTTCACTATTTGTGGGACAAGGAGGGTGTGAATACTGGAGAAGGGCACAAAGCGTGCCACAGACGGGATAATCTAATACACCCGCTAGGAGCCGAAAGGAAAGTCCACGTGGGTTCAAGCCCCACCTCGGCCTCCTGACAGTTGTGTGGCCTTGAACACACTCAGCTCCCTTGCTCTGGTTTTGCATTTACAGAACGTGGATAAGAACAGTGTCTGTCTCTCACGGCTGACCTGATGGTTCGTGAACACGTTGCGTGCGGACAGCAGCCCTGACACGCCACCCGTGATCGCACAAGGGTAGGGGTGGGTTGTGTTCATGGTGCAAAACGGGACTGTAGCCTACTTCTGACCCTTCATTTATTTCGGTTTTTGCCTGGTAAAGAATTTTTCTTCATAAGTTAACTCACGTATTCATTCAGCAAATGTTCATCTTGAATCATACAGGCCAAGTACAGTTCTAGGCACCAGGGCACACAAAACAAAGATTCCCTAACCTTTTGGACTTACATTGTAGTGGGACAGACGGACAGTATGGCTATGGAGTAAAACGAAGCAAGGGATTTCTGGGGTGCAGTATCATTTTTAAGTAGTGAGGCAAGGGAAGGCTTCCTTGAAGAGGTAGTACTGAGACCCAAGGATGGTAGAGAAGGGAGCCACTCAGACACCTGAGCTAAAAGTGTTTCCGGGAAGGGACAGACTAGGGCCCAAGGCAGGAGTGGAGCTGGAGAGGCAGGTGTGGGTGAAGGTGGGTCAGGTTGGGTGGTAGGAGCCATGATGGCCCGAGGCTCCAGAAAGAGCTTGGGGGGTCCCTGGCCTGTCACAGGCTGCCTGAGGCTGCTGGGAAGAAAACAGGTTTCCTGGGTAGGCAGAGTCCTCCGTTTCCGCCTCCACATCTGTGCGCACCGTCAGCGACAGACTTGGCGGCGTTTTCCTGGGGTCTTTCTCCCAGGACACTGAGCCTTCACGGGGTCGGGGGCCGATTAACCTTCAATTCGGCCTCCTCGGCTCTCGTTTCCAAGACTGGCCAGAGAACCCCAATTTCAGCCCGTACTTCTTTCCTGGACTCCCAGGGGGTGGGAGAAACCGGTCTGGAGGCGGGTGGCGGGGGGCCTAAGCCGGTGCTGTCCGGAGAAGGCCGCTGGGTGTGCAGGGAAGGTCTCGCCCGGTGCACACCTGGGCGGCAGGCACAGAAAACAGGCAGGCGCTGGGCATGCAGCTTGGGGTGACCAGGGACGCTACCCGGCGGGGGCACTCCCCCAAGTCAGGCCTCTCCTTAACCAGAGCACCCCAAACGGAGGCACTCCTCCCCAGGGGGACGTTCCCCACCCCACCCAGCCTTCCCAATCAGGATGGCGGCCCCAGCCAGGGCACACCCTATGGAGCACCTTCCCCACCCAGAGCATCCGCTCTCGCAGCCCCGACAAGCTCCTGCCCGGAGCGCCCCGCGCTGGGCGCTGCCCCGAATCGGGGCGCCCCTTCCCTACGCGGGGAAACCCGACGGAGACCACGCT